ACATCCCAGAAACCCATTGTTTTTTGCGCTAATTTTTAAGTGCAGTTGTACCAAGGTGAGAGTCAAAGTATATGGAGAGAGAAATTTAATCCATTTCCAAATCACCTTGGTAATAATGTACAAAGACGACCGACAAAGTCCAAGAGGAAGTTGGTAATACACCTTTGTCACGGCATTGTCCGGTACATTGATATCTGCTGTGTGTTGTTCTGTTTGACAAAAAACTTTGTAAGACATTTTTTAGTTGTTAAGAGAGAATCGTTCGTAGGCTCGTTACAAAATTTGGTGATCGTAACGCCTTCTTCTTTTGACGGATTAGAATATTTTTAGCCTTCCCGCTGTCAGATGTTGCTGCATCTTGTCTTTGGGCGTCTGTCTTCACCCCTTCCACCTGCATCTTTACTTCATTCTGGAGGAATTTCTTGTTTTTCCTTATCAAGTGGCGCTAGAATTGGAATTCACTTACATTCTAAAGAAGCAGATTTTGAACCGGGAGTTGCACAGCATTGTTATGTAATGACACACGTTCTTCATATTAAAGCACAGCAACCAAATATTTCCAATAGTCACACAACATCCCCACGAAGAATTTGTGCATACGTTAATTGTGCTTGTGTTTTAAATAAAGATGCGATGTGTTCTTGATAAACGAGAAATGAATTAAAACCATGAACCTTTGTTTAAGTTTTCCAAAAGTCGTGTTACAAGCTGTGCCCCCCTTCCACTATTTCGATAAGACGTAAGCTAATTTTTAAGTGCAGTTGTACCAAGGTGAGAGTCAAAGTATATGGAGAGAGAAATTTAATCCATTTCCAAATCACCTTGGTAATAATGTACAAAGACGACCGACAAAGTCCAAGAGGAAGTTGGTAATACACCTTTGTCACGGCATTGTCCGGTACATTGATATCTGCTGTGTGTTGTTCTGTTTGACAAAAAACTTTGTAAGACATTTTTTAGTTGTTAAGAGAGAATCGTTCGTAGGCTCGTTACAAAATTTGGTGATCGTAACGCCTTCTTCTTTTGACGGATTAGAATATTTTTAGCCTTCCCGCTGTCAGATGTGGCTGCATCTTGTCTTTGGGCGTCTGTCTTCACCCCTTCCACCTGCGTCTTTACTTCCTTCAATCAAATTCTTGGCCTCCGTTTTCTGGAGGAATTTCTTGTTTTTCCTTATCAAGTGGCGCTAGAATTGGAATTCACTTACATTCTAAAGAAGCAGATTTTGAACCGGGAGTTGCACAGCATTGTTATGTAATGACACACGTTCTTCATATTAAAGCACAGCAACCAATTATTTTCAATAGTCACACAACATCCCCACGAAGAATTTGTGCATACGTTAATTGTGCTTGTGTTTTAAAGAGATATCTAATGTTTTCTCGATAAACGAGAAATAAATTAAAACCATGAACCTTTGTTTAAGTTTTCCAAAAGTCTTGTTACAAGCTGTGCCCTTCTTCCACTATTTTGTTAAGACGTAAAAACATCGGCTTATTTTTTAAGTTGTTTTTTGGGAACTGATTTTTTGTCAGAACAAATGGATTTTGGAGGCTCTGATTACAAATTACGAGCTGGTCAATCAGTGCAATGTACAGCCTGTGATGTATGTTGAGATATTTGTTTTAATTTGCTGGTTGGCTTTAAAATTACTGTTTTTGGTTGATATAACCCCAGATATCTCTTGAAGGATTGAATGGTTTCTAAGGAAGCAGATAACAACTTGTAGAACAAATATTAACTGTTTGCTGCATTATTCTTGATGAATTATTTTCTGATACTGACATAAATGGTATTATGTGAGCATCTGAATTGTAAATTATATTCTGTTCAGACTCCTCATGCAATTCACCATAAAAATCCATCCACCATATTAACAAAAGGAAACTTTTCTTTGGCGAGTAAGTTACAAAACTTAAATTTTATGTGCATGACTTGTAAATTTCTGCTCGCCGTTTCTCCAAATCGACGACTTCTTCGTGGCGTTTCAGGAACCTCTTCACCTCAACACTGAACACTAGTGAGAAAACTGACATTCTCCTGCACGGAATTAGCTCGGACCTGATGATGCAGGTTCTGGATTATGTTTATTTGTGTAAGGTGGACATCCACTGCGCCAACGCGCGTCAGCTGCTTGTGACGGCTGACTATTTGTGGTTACCAGCCGTTGCTGAGCTCTGCTGCGACTTCCTCAAGAACACGCTGGACGTCCACAACTGTATCGGCATCTTGCGTTTCGCAAGGTAATTGACGTTTATTTGTCATTTGCGAGTATACGTTGCTGTGGCGAAGAGCTTCACTCAAGGAGAAGCCAAGTGCCGGGTCAGAGATTAAAGCCTCTGACTGAGGACAGGACAAAGTCTAATGCGTTGTTGATCTGGTCTATTGGCAGGTTATTATTAACGTGCTTTTGATTTAAACATTCTGATTTAACTGCATATGTTTTGATCAAAGGTTTAAGGTAAAAATTGGAGGCGAAATACTGTGGTGTGGAAACACTTGAGAATTCAGTTCTTGCTGCAGTGGTTCAATGTGTCGGAGTTCGATGAAGATCGATTCTGAGTTGGCTCTTACGCTGGTTTTGCAGGTGTTACTTCTGCGCGGGACTTGAGACTCACGCTTGTCGCTTCGTTCTGCGCCACTTCGTGAAAGTGTCTCAGAAAAGCGAAGAACTTTTGGAACTGCCTGTAGAGGAGCTACAAGCGATAATCGAGTCCGAGGAACTGAACGTGAAGAACGAGAAAGTTGTGTGGGAGTGCATTCTCCGGTGGATCAACCACGACCCGTACAACAGGAAAGGCCACATCGTGGGCCTTTTGAAGGGCGTCAGACTAGGACTACTTGACAAAGATTTCTTCCGTGAGAAGGTCAGTATGCCCCTGAAATCGTGGATGTTTATGGGAAGTGAAACCCGCATATTCAATTCCGTTTTCACACGCGTTCGTAACTAATTGTTGCAAATCGTGAGCCTTTTCCTTCGACTGTCAGTCTGCAATTCAAACTGGAGAACGTCTTCACGAATGTTCATTGAATTTAATACTGATGTGCTTTAACAGAATCTGTTGACACATTCCAATTCTGGTTAAAATCTTACAATAACATTGGAAAAATTACACAAAGAACCACCTGAAGATGACCAATTAATGTTGAAACATGTAATAGATCTTTATAGACATCGAGCCCATAATCACACATTGTTGTGTTAATGGATCATCACCCTAACAACGAACATGCAACAGGTTGCCTCCATTGAAACTCGAAGCAACTATTCGTCATAATTTTCTTTCGGTTCTCCATAATTTTGACGATTAATTGAAGTCATCGAATCAAATATAATGTGGTGATTACGGCGTGCATCTTGCATGGGAGAGACGAGAAATAAGTTTATTTTTGAATGTAATTCAAAAGACAAATCTTACTGAAGTATGTAACTATCAGCCGAGAAACATATCAATACATTTCTCTAAGGTCGATTTAACTTTGTTTTTGCTTCTCTCCGCAAACTGAACATTTGTTAAGTTTTGCGTCGTTACATAAACCAAAGAACATGACTCTTATATATACCTTAGTCTATTTCGCGTCATAATTTTCTTTCGGTTCTCCATAGTTTTGACGATTAATTGAAGTCATAGAATCAAATAAAATGTGGTGATTACAGCGCGCATCTTGCACGGGTGAGACTAGAAATAAGTCATATTTTTGTATGTAATTCAAAAGACAAATCTTACTGAAGTATGTAACTATCAGCCGAGAAACATATCAATACATTTCTCTAAGGTCGATTTAACTTTGTTTTTGCTTTCATTTGTTATGAGCGTCGTTACATAAACCAAAGAACATGACTCTTATATATACCTTAGTCTATTTCGGTGAGTTTCCAAACAAATTTTGCGTGAATTTCTTGTCTCCTCTGCAATGGTACATGCTATGATTCTTGCCATCCTTTCCTAAATGTTCATAAGGTCCACATTGAACTGTTCAAAAGGTATTAAAACACCCGTACGTGACGGAGATTGAGGCTTGCAATCCCGTGATTTTAGAGACGAAAGCCTTCCTACGCGACTTGCAAATGATGACGGAGGAAGACAAGGAATTCGTGACACCAAGGATTGCCCAACCGCGAATCCCACAGGATTTTCTGTTTGCTATTGGTGGGTTTTGTGACAGAAGCCCGACAGATCTGATTGAAACTTATGACATTCGAGCAGACCGATGGAGTGTGGTGAGTTGCACACATTTTTACTCTTACCGTGCCTTGTTAAATGACGCCTACGAGAAAGAACTAGCTTTTCTATTGTCTACTTATTTCTACCAACTAATTGCATATTTAAGCTTACTCACAAGCACCTCTTTGCCTTTTTTTCGTGTTCGTTTATTTCCATTGCAGTGAAGACTTTTTAAGAGAAGCTCCAATTAAATTAATTAAAAAGAATAAATGAATAGATTAATTGTCGTGTCTTATGTAAAATTTAACTTCTAATAGGAATCTACGAAAGGTATGAAGTTTGCCTTAAATACAATTTAAAATTGGCGTCCTACATCAACTGTCATGGCAAACTGTCTGCTGATTTTAAACACGAAACCAAATCATCATTGATGATCAGTGTGGATTTCAACGTAATAAATGAAGTACTGATCACTGACGATGTTTGCCATCTGCGTGGTAACGCCGCATGAATAGAAGTCACACTGATTGGTGTTGGTTGGGGATCTTACTGCCTACAGCTTTGCGTCGATAAAACCCAAAACACCATCATCTGGCCTTACCATCATACGAACCTGAAATGTGAGCTGTTGATCACAAATCCTAAGAGAGAGAGAGACTGAAGTGACCTTCAGTAACTCGTAGACTTGACGAGAACTCTGATAATGTTGAAGTTTCTATTCGTGACTTCCTCTTTCCTCCGCCTCCCATAATTCCACTATTGCTCCAAGTTCATTTCTCAAGGTAGGCCCGGTCACCGAGCACGGTGTAGCAATTTCGGCCGCTGTTGGGTTTGTACCTCTGCTCCGGTGTTTGCTTCTACTCTAATGTAAGGACTTCACATTAGTAGACCTTGTGACCCAAAGAAACAATAAGCCATGACCTGTTGTTCTTGCAGGTTGAGGGCGTTGACTCGATCGGTCCGCGAACTTGCCATCGCACGGCGGTAATAGGTTTCAACATTTACGTCATCGGTGGTTACGAAGGCGAGAAAGCCTTAAGCTCATGTCACAGCTTCAACGCTGTTACGAAGACGTGGCTCGAGTTGGCGCCTATGCATAAATGCAGGTAAGATGCAGTTCGCTAACTAACGAACTCCTTCGAGCAGAGTCCTGCTTCAAAAGCTGATAGTCGCTGTGTTAGGCTGTTACGAAGACGTGGCGCGAGGTGGCGCCTATGCATGAACGCAGGTAAAATGCAGTTCGCTAACTAACAAACTCCTTCGAGCAGAGTCCTACTTCAAAAGCTGATAGTCGCTGTGTTAGTCAAAATATATATGTGGACAGGGGCTCTAACTTTACCACCCACATACACGAGCTTCATTCAAAGTGTGGATTGGTAGGAAGACATTTGCTACAATGTTGGTCGTCGGTCAAATCCATCGTTCGCATTTTCTCGAAGTTTCAAGAATATTGTTAGCTTCTTAATTCATTTGGATTTTTATTTAACAATGACGAACGAACAACTGTTTTCTAAGAGAGGAAATGTGTCTGTATCAGCAAAAAATGAACATGAATGCCAGAAAAGCACGAAGCATAGCAAAGTCTGAACTTTTTTCTTTTCAGACGCAACTTAGCTGTGGCAGTTCTGGGAGAGATGGTTTACGCCATGGGTGGTTGTGTTTATGGTCAGCAACACGAAACGGCGGAGCGATACGACTACAGGACGAACCAGTGGTCTTTTATCGCTCCTATGAACTCGCAGCGGTGGAACACAAGTGCGGCTGTGCTAAATGGTAACGGAGAACCTGTGAAAGATTACTGTGTGAATTAGTGTAGAAGGCGAGGCGTCTGTCTCTCGGCGTCTAACAACGCAAGAACGGTTGAAGGAATTGTGGGATTTGAGGGTCTCATGGTGGCTGTCGTTTGGCTTGTAGCGCCATGTACTCTGGTAGAGGTCTACCGACGTTTCAGAGAAACTTATGCCTTTTTCATCAAGGCAGCAAACATATCTGGAACATCTGTAAACTAGTAGAAAGACTCCTTTAAATGTGAGGGGCGTGATTTATTTCGTAATTTCATATGTCATAATATTCTCTCTCCTTCCTCCTCGCTCTTGAACTTAGTTTCCCATTGTCCGGTTTCCTTTTATTATCCATTTATTTCATCCGTGCTACGTACTACGTTATTTCACAGACTCCAACGACTTGACGTTCTGAGTGCGTGATGGTTTCTTCTGCTCTTGTAAGCTATCCCTGTACATCGTCTTCTGCCTTCCATGTAATTTATTTATTTATTTAGTGTTCTGTCTGACGACAGGTCCATATGAACAGAATCCTTCCATCCTTTTCTCATATACGTTCTTGGCAGATGATCCAGAAGTAGTTTGCCATTGCCTTCTTCTGTGTGTGAATATAGTAATTGTTGGGATGCCACGGAGAAACCGGGGAAGCCCCCGGAGGAAAACTCCGTATTTCCTAGACCACGGCCTTGCCCAACACAAGTTATAAATTCGGGCACAGATATACAGATGTACAATGTTTTTGACACAGTTAATTATCTGATGAATATAGCACATTATGTTAAAAATATAGAGCACCGCCAAGCAGCTTTTACCGTACATCTCTGGTACCGAATTTAATAAAATTCGTTTTACAGAAGATGTAACTTACCATCATTTTCATTATGCATTAATTTAGGCATTTTATGCTGTTTATATTAAATTATATCAGTTTGTTTTCATCCATTAATCTCGTTTCCTTTCTCACGCCAATTGTCTAAATTCATTGAAATGCATAAAGTTGAAAAGAAAGAAACAAATGAATAGAGACAGCCGTGTCCGTACAGTTGCTATGACACGAAGGCGGACATTAAATACAATATCATTAATAGATTAACAAATTTAAGTACATATTCTCCCATGTTTGTGCTCTGCGTGGAGCAGTATAATGCCTCTGCCTACGTCAAATATGTATACAGTTTGTGTCACACATGTAATTTGTTTTTGCAGACAAAATATACGTCGCTGGTGGATATTCTAAATTTTATAATTATTTGAACACTGTGGAAGTGTATGACCCAGTCACCAACCAATGGACGTTCGTTGCGAAATTGCGTTTTGAACGTGTAGGTAATTCTTGTGTCGTCTTCCACGGCAGTCTGTACGTCCTAGGTAAGATTTCTAGATATAATGAGTAATGTTCCTGTATCCTACTTATAGAACTTACTATTGTGCAATGTTTTCCTAGTTTTCTTTGAGTGCTTCAGACTTTATGAGTTTGTCAGTATTTTCTTAACCACGATTCGTGGTTTCGAATATATTATCAACAACAGATAATCTCTTGTGGGATCTCAACTAACGCATGCCCCATTTGTCAAAAAGTCCAGATTTTAAAGGTAAATATTTTGTTCCAGTGGCAAGGATATTTACGTTGTCCGTGCTGTTATCCACAACAAGCCGGTGGTTTGAACCGGTTCCTTCGTATTCTTTCCTTTTCGTCAATTGTTTGTGTTTATTGTTGAACTCTATTTTTGTATGCAGTTGCATGAAGCAGTAAACAGACGTCAGGTGCAATTTCCTGTTCCTACTGTAAAAGAGAATGGCGTCTCTCTACACAGATTGCCTACGAATGTAGTGGGACTGGTTACGTTGTGTTTACATCAGGGTTCGGGGCGCTTTTTATGATAAGTTTCAGCTGCGTAATTATAACCTTAATATTAATTGTGATCTAATATATAAATTAGACGTGACATTAAACTTCTGTTCGTGCGAATTTTGGGACGCTGTACTTTAGAACAATTCTGTTTCTACTGTACCGTAAATAAACTCCAGAAGACATGTGAAGTAAATGCTTCATAAACTCCCTTGTTCACAAGTACAAAAATAATATTGTAGATATTTGATCCTTAACTTCGTTCCTGGTACTAATACAAACACTGCAAAAGGGAATGAATTTACTTTTCTGTATTTCATCCATTCCTTACGTTTATTAAATTACAAATTTTAAGAGCATAAATTCCGTTGGGTAAGACAGACGGAGTGTGAAGCATTGAAGTTACGAGAAATATATACATCTAGAAATTTCTAATTAGTAATCTTGATGGAAGGATGACAGTTATGATATGTATAGACATGAAGGGAAGGATAATATTAAGAGATTTTTGAGTAACTACATTATGTGGGAAGGTTTCAACCACCGATTTTTGTGAATAAGACCACACATTTTGTGGCCAGGTGAGAGAGTAATGAATGGTGTTAGAATAAGTTTCGTTTATCAGCTTTCTTTATATACTTTGTCTTAATACAGAATATGTGTATGTGCAGGAGGATGTTATAATGCGCGAGACAATCTCAGCACCGAAAAGTATGACCCAGAAAAAGACACGTGGACCGAGATGCCTGATAAGTGCGTCTCACGTGGCTACTCAGAAGCAGAAGTGATCGACGATATGATGTTTGTCATCGGTGAAGATCAAGACGTGGACACTAACTTCAGTGCCAGATGTTTCGATGACAAGAAAAATGAATGGTTTGTTTCTTTGTTCAGCACAGTATCATCACAAACTGTTACTTTTGAAAACCACTAGGGAGTGAATCAGTTCCGGTCAAGATAACCGAGATCTTGTGGATGCTGCACCATGTAGTATCGTAGAAACTGACCGACGTTTCAGAGGTTCTAACTGCTTACTCAGGGCATTGAATGCGGCGTGGAGAAAATGAGTGGGGGGGGAGGGGTTGAATGAAAACAGGCAGGGCAATGTGGCGGTCAAGTTGAATCATTGAAGCAGAGAGCAAATGACTAGGTAATGCTAATCAGACGTCAACTGTAAATGCATTATTTAGAGCTCTTAGAGCAAGTTTCTTTGATCAGGAGTATTCTCTTGGGCTGGACGTTTCTTGCGTTCAGCACCTCAGCATCGCGATTATCATCGACTTTCATAAAAAATGTTAGGCCTATCCGTCTCGCGTTTCCTTATTTGGATGGAAGTTTGTTTGCAAATGGCTGTCTCTTGGCGTGTTTCACAATGCAGTCTTGTGCCATCTGATGATGGAGTCAGTAAGCAGCCCCACAAACATCCCAGAAGACAGTTTTCTTCACACTTGTCTGTGCAAGAGCCAGAAATCTCACAGAAATTCATTTACTTTTGGTTTTTGCCTCTTTTACGTCCAACAGAACCTTTCCAGAACTATTTTTGCAAGACAAAGAAAAACTAAATTTTGAAAACAAATTGCTAAAAGGGGGAAATATTATTATGGCCGCAATTCTCAAACAAAACACGCGTCTCTCTCCAAATAATGTGTGATTGAAGTGTTATTCTGACCGGGGGTAATGGCTTAATGAAGTATAGCAAACACAGCTAGCGCAGAACATAATTCATTTGACAACATTGTAAAATAGTCATAATCTCTCCCTCCATTTCGATGTAATAAAATGTATTATGTTATAACAGCATGTTGGCCGGTGTTCTTTGTGTATATGAGTAAAAGAAAGATCACGTGGAAATCGTGCACTAAAGTCCCATTGGGGGAATTTTCTTAAGGTTGTCTGGAAACAAAATACAAGCAACGATATTTCGGTGGAAGCCTGTGCGCTTAGCTTTAAGCAGTTTTCCATTTTGCCGAAAGAGAGAGCTAGCCCATCAGGCATGGAATTTCTTACGTCAACACATTTCAGTTTAGAACCTCAAAAGAAAAGTATATATGTTTTTAAGAAAATGGCTAATTTCTTTAAATAATGGCACTGGCATTCAATTTAAATTCCTGTTAAACTTTTATTAAGTAAATTATTTATGGCAGAAGACGCATTTCTTCATGAGTTACCTCATCTTATGTGGAGCTACATATTTTCTGTAACTGTGTCCGCGAAATGTGATAAAGTTGTCTTGAGTGTAGAAAATACTGATGGATGTTGAAAAAGTGTTTGTTTTCACTTTTGATATCTCAAATTGCAGGTACCAGGCGACAAAATGCAATGTTTGCAGATACGGGATGTCGATATCTGTCGTCAAGAACCTACCGAATGCAAAAGATTACGCCTACAAACACAGGGACAAATTGATGGAGGAGAAACGTAAGAAAATGTTGGCTTTGGGAAACTCGGCGGAAGCAAGCCATTGATTACAGCTTCTACGAACACATTATTTTTGATTACGTTCCTCTAGAAAATAGTGAATAATAGTGGGATTTTATGCAATAGCAAAGAAGGGAAATAAAGAGAATTATTTTATGCAGCAAAGAACGAAAAATTATTTGTCCTCGTTATTTTCTGCTCAAGAAGTCTTATTGACACTAAATTATTTTAAAGGCGTTTCAATGTATCCAAAATAATATTATCCATGAACACATAGCAGTTTGACTTTGTGTCTTGTACTAAATCCATTTGAGGTTTCAATTTTCGAGTTACGAAAGCGCCTTCATTGTATTAGGGTAAGTGGGGGGAAATGCGTCACCTTAAGGGAAAATGAAATTTTGTTGCTTCATGAACATCGTTTACAGAAACTTCATTACAAAGGCAACACACGTCAATTTTGTATTAATTTCTTATCTACGTGTGATTTTAAAAAAATTGCGAAAGTGCATTTGGCTGAGTTGCCCCGATATACCGGGAAATTCTGTCATCTTTCTGAGGAATTACGCCCTTAACAAATGCCGTATAGACAAAGACGATCCTTTCAGTTAACAGATGTATTTATTTATTCATGGTATTTAATACGATACTCTTAAGTACTTGATGTATAAGTACAGAATATTATCACAAAATACACAAAAATATGAACTTCAATTTAGTTTAGACACATAAAGAGTAAAAGAAAATGTGACATCTGTAATGAAATGGGGTACTCATAGCATGTTTCCGAGATGCAGTCAAATTCTGTATCAGCTTAACAGATCATACGCCAGGGCTCAAAAATCTTTATGCCGACACACTGCCTGGCACTCGGGCAATACCGCACAATAAAGAACCATTACCTCAGACGTTGTTAACGTAACACATTATTTATTCCCGCCCGAGCCCAGTATGTAACAAGACTGCATAATCAGAGAAATAGATATGCACATTTGTACTTTCAAATGTTATCGTCTAACGAATGTCCATAACAATGATCGGCTGGTTAATGCCATGTAGGGAAGTTATCTCTTTTTGTTCTGAGAATCTACAAAACCCATAATTACACATTGTGATTGTTAATGCAGGCTTTCCTTTCTGTTAACACTGAGTTTTAAGAATGTAAACTCTTTAAAACAATCAGTATCACCTTGACTCAATGTCATTATGGAGGCGAGCGATCTTCATTAGCAGAAAGTTATTACTACGTAACTAAACATTAGTTAAGTACTGTTCTCATTTTCCAAAACCATGTTGAGTGTGGCCTTTGTCACAATGGTGTTTCACATCCTGAGAATACGGACAACAGCCGATAAGGGGTAGTCTTCTAAC